GAGGAGAGCCGCTCGGTTGCGGTGCCTCCTGCGCTCCTGGTGCTCAGACCCGTTCCTTGTGGTTAGTGCCGCAGGATGCGTGCAGGGCTCTCGCATCTCAATTATTTATGAACGTTATTTTCCTTCTGTGTGTGCATCCCTCCTTTCAGACCTTTGGGTAGGCAGCCCCCTGCCTTGCTTAGGCTTGGGTTTGGCTGCAGAGATGCCTTTTCTTTTTGTTCTCTCTTCTCTCGTGCACTGTTTTGATTAAAAGGAGAAGCAGCTTTTTTTTATTTTTTTAATGTGCTCACTGGGTTCTCCATCAATGGGATGCCCTTTGCTATCTATAGCATTTACCAACCTGGTAATTGAGAGGGGGATGGCTTGCAAAAACCTAATGATTGACAGGACACAACATGAAGGTCCCAAAAGGATTTTTTTTTTTAACCTCTGTACCCTCTTGTGCCCCATCTCCACTCATCTAAAAGGCCAAGAGCTGACTGATGGGATGTGAGGTCCTCTGCTCTGGTGTTTTACAGCTGGGGAGAATGGGAATGCAGCTACTTTGTGACTCATCCTTTGCCTCAAGCCTACAAGCTGCCCTGGGCATAAGATCCACACTGTGGGGAGGAACAGCAAGCAACATGAATTTTTAGCTAGCAAATGGTGCCACTTCACAGGTCAGTGGTGTCTCCCAGCCTCTCTGTGAGCCACAGATGTAGGATGCTTCACAGAAGATGTGGTCTTTATTTCTTCACCCTCTTGCAACCCTGTTGGACTTGAGAGAATTACTCGGGGCATCTCAAAAGGTCCTTTTCCAGCCCCAACCCAGTGCTCACCCAGCATGGCTCCATCACAGGAGTCAGAGCCCTGCTGGTGTCCTGCCAGGGACACCGTGATCTGAAGGAATGCCCTGTACCCGAGGACATGAGGTAGTCCAGTAGCACACAGAGCGCATCCAGGAGCAGATTTCAAGCAGCTGATGCTGTGGCTGGAGACGGGATCACACGGTGGCCCTCTGCCAATGCTAACTTTGCTGGCAGGGGCAGCAATCAGCAGCAGAGATGCAGTAGCAGAGGCTGTGCCGTGAGGTAGCTGGCACAGTAAATCCTCCAGGGCCCTGCAAAGGAGGGAGCAAGCTGTGCCGGAGCCAACTATTCACTGCACTGCTAGCCAAGTTGTCTGGGGTAAAAGGAGCTGGGTAAAAAACAGCCTCCCGTGTCATGGAGGTATTGCCTGGAGTCAGCCTGGGCACATGCTGATACTCCCTAGCCCTTGCTCCTCTACCATGAGGCAGCATGGAGATGAGAAGATGAGAGGGAAGGAAGTGGCCAATGAAAAGCCTCAAAGCAGGGAGAAAAATGCAGAGTTCCCAAAGAGATTTTCATTTGGGCAAAATAAAGAAATAAAAGGAGGCCGGAGGAGACGAGTAACTTTTGATCTTGAGCATCCTCCATGGACAGTTTCCCAGCAGATGTGGTACAGAGCTGTCAGTACAGGGTGTGCATCCCAGGTCAGGAGTTGGAGATGCTGGCCGTGAGCAAAGGGAAGGTTCTGCTCCACCTGGCTTTTCTCAGCATCATTGATCCTTGTTCTTCCCATCACAGGTGGGTGGGCAGGAGAGGAAAAGCACCTTGTCCTGCAGCCAAGGGGCAGCTTAGGCCAGGATCAGCACCAGGTCCTATCCAGCACCATGCTGTTGCTGTCAGATGAGGTGGCAGTTTCTGTGGGACTTGGTGTGTACCCATGCTCCAGCATCTTTGACAGCTGAACCTGCACTAAACTGGCTTGGAGATGTACTGCCCCATTGTGCCTTCTTGAGTGAAGGGGCCAGGATGCCCCAGGGAAGAGGAGCAGAATCATGATGGGTGGGGGCGTTCTTGCCTGGTTCACTTGGTGCATCTTGCCCACAAACAAAGCCCTCTGAAGGAGAGCAAGGGGTCTTCAGAAGTTGTGATACACAGTGAATTTGAGTCAGGTTTGTGGTAGAAGCCTAGAGGATTGCAACAGCACCTTGTATGAGTTTAAACTTACTCCTTAGAGTCTGGTTTGGAGGATGAAGTAGTAGACCATTGGACCATTGATGTTGTCTCAGTAGGTTTCCTGGGCAGTGCATTTGAATCTTCACATGGACTAGTACTGAAGGTGGCTTCTAGTCGGTACAGCCAAGTGTGTCAGGAATTAGCTAGGCACCTTGTTCTCCTCACCTGCCATGGGAACTGGTATTCTTCAGCCACCTGTCTAGGCTAGGGAAGGTCTTCTCTGGTTTAAAAGATTATTCCTGCAAACTCATAGCCCGTCTCAGCTTGGTGCCCTGGTTCCAAACCTCATTTGGAGTTGTAAGCGTGAACCAAAGTAGACACTGAATTATGAACGTGTGAAAAGAGACAGAGGGAAATAGTAGCTGAAATGATTGAAGACGGTGTGATCAGAAGAGGAAGAAAAACCACCCACCCCATTCCACTCCAAGTGGGTAAAGGAGCCCTATTCCCATCCTACGAGAAGGTGAATACATCCTTCTTCAGGTCTCCACCTGGCACCTCACTTGTGAACTGGAAGCACAATGAGAGGACTTTTAGCTAGCACAGATGAGTAAGGGTGTCTGTCTGCTGTCTTATTCTCTGGATCATCATAGAATCATAGAATGGTTTGGGTTGGAAAGGACCCCACAGCCCGTCTAGTCCCACCCCCCTGTCATGGGCAGGGACACCCTCCACTAGCCCAGGTTGCCCAAAGCCCCATCCAGCCTGGCCTTGAACACTGCCAGGGATCCAGGGGCAGCCACGGCTTCTCTGGGCAACCTGTGCCAGTGCCCCACCACCCTCAGAGGGAAGAATTTCTTCCTAACATCTAATCCAAATCTCCTCTCTTTCAGCTTAAGACCATTCTCCCTTGTCCTGTCACTCCCATGCCCTTGTCACCAGTCCCTCTCCAGCTTTCCTGGAGGTCTCTTTAGGTACTGGAAGGCGCTCTAAGGTCTTCCCGGAGCCTTCTCTTCTCCAGGCTGAGTAACCCCAACTCTCTCAACCTGTCTTCATAGCAGAGGTGTTTCAGCCCTCTGACCATCTTTGTGGCCTCCTCTGGACTCTCTCCAACAGCTCCATGCCCTTCTCATCCTGGGGACCCCAGAGCTGGATGCAGTACTCCAGGTGGTGTTTCACCAGAGTGGAGCAGAGGGGCAGAATCACCTCCCTCAACCTGCTGGTCACACTTCTTTTGATGTAGCCTCAGATATAGTTGGTTTTCTGGGCTGCAAGCACATGTTGCCAGATGGCGTTGAGCTTCTCATCCCCCAACACTACCCCCAAGTCCTTCTGCTCAGGGCTGCTCTCTATCCATTCTCCACCCAGCCTGTAGTTGTGCTTGGGATTGCCCTGATTCAGCTGCAAGTCCTTGCCCTTGGCCTTGTTGAACTTCATGCAGTTCTCATGGGCCCACCTCTCAAGGTCCCTCTGGATGGCATCCCTTCCCTCCAGCATGTCAACCCACCACACAGCTTGGTGGTGTTGGCAAACTCGCTGAGGGCGCGCTCGATCCCATTGTCTGTGTCGCCGACGAAGATGTTAAACAGCGCTGGTTCCAATACCGACCCTTGAGGAACGCCACTTGTCGCTGATCTCCACTAGGACATTGAGCTGTTCTCTGTACTTGCAATTCATGATGTTCTCTGTACTTGTAATTCTAGGTGGAGTTGTCCTCAACCCTGCTTATTACGGTATGCACGGCCACACGAACACCATGATCCACGAAGTGGGACACGTCCTGGGGCTGTACCATGTCTTTAAGGGAGTGAGCGAGCGGGAATCTTGTGACGATCCCTGCAGGGAGACAACTCCATCTATGGAGACGGGAGACCTCTGTGCCGACACTGCCCCCACCCCAAAGAGTAAACTCTGTCGGGATCCAGACCCTACCAACGACACCTGCGGCCAGACACATTTCACAGGAACACCGTTCAACAACTACATGAGTTACACAGGTAACGAGTAATCATTGTTAGATGTTGTAAAGGGTCACTTTCCCTAGAAATCTGGGGTTCTCTCCCTTCCACCTCCATCAATAGTCCTGCTCCTCCTTCCCTGAGATGTGGTCCCTTCTGGTGGGCAGGGATGTGACAGGCAGGTTGCAGCCTATGCTTGCAGTGTCTCATGTTAGCCCCTTTCTTACTGCAGGCTGTTTCCATCCCTCCCTCCCTGCCTCTCTGTGGGTCATTGGAGATGCACCGAGGCCATTCTTGCCTGCATGGTGGCATGCCTGCATTGTCCGGTCCTGAAATTATGTGTTATTTTTACTACTGCTATAATTTTGGACATTAGAGTTGAGTCCTTTTGGCTTGGTTTCTAAAGGCATGCTGCGGAGGGCTGGTGTTCCTCCTGGCAGCCCAGGAGGACAGAAGCCTGGGGAGCAATTCTGTCACCCTGCTTGACCCATCGCAAGTTCCCAGAGGACGGTGGCACTGCCCGGGCCTCAGAGCTGGCGTTGAGGGCAGGGTAGTCGGGAGCGGCTGTGGCAAGGGCAGCGATGTGGAGCTGCTGAGGCAGTGCCATCTTGTGGCTTTGGGGACACACGACACCAGAGAGTCCTGGCAGGAGAGCCACCATGCACTGGTGTCTCCCAGGTCTCCCTAAAACAGAGTTTGGAGATCAGGAAGAGTGCACGTTGCTTTGCCCTGCTGGCTGATTCCTGCCACCCTCAGCCTGGCTGCTCTTCCCCCAGATGATGACTGCACCAACACCTTCACCCCCAACCAAGTGGCCCGGATGCATTGCTACCTGGACCTGGTGTACCAGCGCTGGGGCCAGAGCAAGAAGCCCGCGCCCATCCCAATCCCTCCCATGGTCACGGGGCAGACGCAGGACTCCCTCAGCATCTACTGGCTGCCCCCCATTAGCGGTGTCATTCATGAGAGGTAAGGGATGCAATGGTTGTGATGGTCGTGATGGTTTTGGGCATGCATAGGAGCCTGCTAGAAGGGACAAGGAACCTTTTACAGTGCAGAGGCCCCCATTGCCTTTCCGCCTTGGCCATCTTCAGCACAGCCCTCTGACACAAGAGCCAGGCTGCTGTGATGGCCCTGCTGGCACTTGGGCTCTCCTGCAAGCCTGCTGCTGTTGGGGTGCTGGGAGGGGAAGCCAAAGAGTGTCAGGAGGTGATGCCAATTCTTAAACCCCAGAGTGCAATCACAGAATGAAAAATGAGCTTCATTTAGCACTTATTGTATAAAATAACCATTTACCAGGAGGAAATGCAGCCTTGTGGTTAAGGCAGGGAGCTCGAACCGCAAGAGCTGGGTTTCATTCCCAGCGCTGTCATAGACTCATGGTGTAACTAACTGGGGGTAAGTCAGGAAACTTTTCAAGCCAGAGAAATGATGCTGAGGAACCAGAGCTGCTTGTCTGGTGAGCAGTGCGTGGCCCTGAGTGCTGGGTTGGTTGTCTTCCTTCTCCCCAATACCAGGGAGTCACCAAGACCTGGATACACCACCAATGCCTCTATTCAGCAGCCCCTCTTATTAAACCATTTTTGTTTCCACTAGGTTTTTGGTCTATGATTTTAGACCATAAGCACATGTTAAAGAGCTCTAGAACTTGTTTTAAAGCTGTCCCTTGCAATTAAAAAAAAGTGCTGTTTGAGGGCAGGTGGGATGCTCTTGGGTCAGTGTTTGCTGCCTTTTCATAGAACTGGTGCTCTTCATGATGGGCCTTTCACCCAGGAACAACAAGAGCATGTGCCTGTCACCCCTGCTGCAAGGCATGAGAGCCTCTGAGTGCTGGGTGGCCTCAAGTCATCCAAACAAACTGCTTTGGGAATGGAGTGGTTTGGGAGCAGGAAAACATGGGTCTAGGAAGCAGGTGCTGGGTCTTTGAATCCATCACTACTTCTTGCTCATAACCAGCTTAGGAACTGGTCTAGGGTGGAGGTCCTGCATCCCCTGAGATGAATAGGTCAAGGAAAGGTGCTGAGGCTGGCCCTTATCACAGAAAAGTGATGTTTCTTTCCTGGATAACACAGCGGGACTCTGTTTAATTAACACTATTGTGACTGTTTTGGCTTTCATCACTACTGCAATACAGAACCTGACTCTGGGGTTTACCAGAGATAGACCCAACTGCAGAGGCATTGCCCTGGGAAGTGTGAAGTCTGTTAGCTCCATGTTAGCTTTGTGGGTAGGGAATAGGCGATTCAATGGCCCATCCAAGACTACCAGGAGAGCATGTAGAAGAGGAGGGATTAAACCCAGCTTGTCCCGTGGTCACTCTTGTTTTCCTGTCTTTCATGAAGCTTATTCCAAGCAGGATGATATGTCTAGGGGCTTCCTGAAAGCTTAGCTTTACTTTTCCAACTTCCTATCTGATCCTGCCTGGACAAACGTGGGTGGAAAATTAACTAGTCATGATTAGACATGCCGGTACCTTTGTCTCCTGCCTGCAGGGAGCAGGACACGCTCTGTGACGACTGTGCAGAGGATGGCACTTTCCATCAGTATGTGCACGAGGCCTCTTCCCCTCGGGTCTGCGACTCCTCTGGCTACTGGACCCCAGAAGAAGCAGAAGGTAAATGTCTTCTCTCTTTCCC